AGGAGGGTGGTGAAGCACTGGAATATGGGTTACCTAGGGAGGTGGTGGAATCTCCTTCCTTAGAGGTTTTTAAGGTCAGGCTTGACAAAGCCCTGGCTGGGATGATTTAGTTGGGAATTGGTCCTGCTTTGAGCAGGGGGTTGGACTAGATGACCTCCTGAGGTCCCTTCCAACCCTGATAGTCTATGATTCCCACCTGAAATAGAACTACTTGATTTTGCTCTCTCAGCACTTCAGCATACCCCCCTCTCCCTGACCAAATAGATTTCTCCTGCTTCCTTTGGGAACAGTACTAACATCTGTCTTAGCATTAAGGATGTAGCAATTAAAAAAAAAAAAAGTAAGCTATGAAGGGAAACTATTAATATTTCTTACTATTCAGAGGGGTTGTTTATAATTCACCTCAGCAGGACTGGAGGCCAGACAGCAGCAGCCCGTGATCTGAAGTAACCTTACAAAGTTTGAAGGCGATGGTGTGTTACAGTGTTAGGACACAAGGCCTCCAGCCCTCGGCAATGAGGATTGTCACTATGGCGATTAGGCGAGGGCTCCCTCTGAGCTTTGTCAATGGTGTTAGCATCTGCCTCCTTCTCCTCCAGGTCAGACGGCAGCACCTTGAAGAGACTATTCCCCGAGGGAAAAGCAGCTCCAACTCTGCAGCACCGAGGCCTGTGCTTTGCTCAGTATCTTCTCCGCATGTTGCAAGCTCACTACGCCATGGCTTGTCAAGACCTGCTGCAGGCAGCGAGCACTAACCCAATGCATGGTGCGTCCTCCGGCATCATGGGGAAGGAGACATCAGAGCTCCCATGCCCCTTCTCTCTCCTGCAGTCCTGTCAGACTACAGCTGTGTCATGTGATGGATCAGGTCTGTGATTCAGCAAATCATGCAGCCAGTGACTGGCCTGAGCACAGCACAACTAACTCCACTCCCAGATACGACAAAGAGATTCCCTGTGGCCTTGGACAAGTCGCTTCACCTCTCTGCCCATGTCCCCAGCTGGGCTTGGGGCAGCCCTAGCTATGTCACACAGGCCTAGTGAAGATTGGCGAGTGTTTTGAGACGTCCGTTGGAGATGAAACAAGCTGTGTATTTATGGGCTGGGGCAAAGGGGTCGAGCTTGCTGTGGAATGAAGAGCTGAGGTGTTGGCTTCTTGTCCGTGGCGCTCTGGCTAAATTTCCAAGCGGCTATTGACTTTTCCCTGGCCTCAGATCCCCCACAGCACAATATTCTTTCCCTTCTTGTCCCAAATGTCAGCCCCATTTCCGCACGCTGTTAAACAGCTCCTGTCGGAGTTATGTCTCTTATCTATCTGGCACGCCACGTCTCCGGGAAGGGATCTTGACTTTATCCCTGGCCCTCTGTCAGTACTGTGCGGATATCATCTAGGGACAGCGGTTCTTTGCCACAGGCTGCCTCTAGCTCTCACTAAACTTCAGTGACCCAGCTCATTCGGGGGATTGTATGGGAAGGGAACATGCAAGCGTCCAGCCCTGCGATAATTGGAGTGTTATCTGTGTAGGAGTGATGGCGGCGCTGCGGAGGTGTCTGCTCGAGGTACCGGAGGGGGCAGTCTCTATGCTGAAGGGAGAGCACGTGCAGAGCTGGCAGGAGCTCCTCAGCCATTTGGTGACCTTGCTGGGAGACATCAGCACCTTCCTCCTGGGGGTGCTTCAGAGCAGGCAGGGGCCCAACGCCAACCAGCCAGGTGAGGAAGGGTTCCCAGCCAGCCCACCCCACGGTGTCGTGCCCTTTCAACTACGCCTGCCTTAAGTGCCAAGAGCTCTTAAATTGTGGATTGCAGAGAGCCGGCTGGTCACAGGTGGTCTCATTTCCAGCTGCCTCTGCAGCCCTCCAGGCTCTTCTTTCCAAAGAGCCGGTCTGCTAAAGCCACCTGCTTCCTCTTGTTTCCACCGAACTGCCCCTAAAAGAGGCTGCTGCGCCGTAAGAGGAGGAAAGGGGACTGGAGTGGCCAAGGAGAGGAGGAATGCCCAGGGCAGGATGACACAAGGTAGGGGGCCCAGCAGGAGAAGGGGCTCAGGTAGCCAGACAATGGCTAGGGCAGCAAGGGTTAAGGCAACCCAGTGACAGTGGAGAAGGGGCCCAGGTGGCAGAGAAGAATGAGCAGGAGGAGAGAAGAGCAGACCAGGGGGTTGGAGAAAAGTGAAATAAAGGGCAGAAGGAGACAGCAATTGACTTTAAGAAGGAACACAGCACTTTGAAGACAACAAAAACCTGAACACACAACTGCAGTTACAACAGGGATGTCATACAGTCACAATGGGAAAGCAGGGAGGGCCCACAGGATCATGGTTTGGAAGGGTGGGGTCCACACCACATCCTCTCTGTAGCTACTGGCCATGCTATGGAAGTTTGAGAGAGAGAGAGAGAGAGACACACACACTCTCTCTCTCTCTCTCTCTCTCTCCT